ACCAAAAAAAAAAAAAAAAAAAAAAAAAAAAAAATCCTCAGTGAATGGAGAATTAAAGTGCTTTTAATTCAATTTTGTCTTACCAAGTTGCCTTTGGCTAAATCATAAAATCTTAGGAGGTAGATTTCCTAGTTCTGCTAATATTTTTATAGTGTTAAATGGAATAGGATTAAAAATTAAGAGAACACTGAATACAGAAAGAAACTTCCATATTCAGATGTTAGATGGTGATAAAATATAGCAATAGATTATTGAGCAAAGGTGTCAGTTCAATAATGTACTGCGTCTTTGTGTCTGAGAATTTTAAAAATAGAGTAGAAGAGACATTTATCTGCCTAAAGGTAGGAGGCTCAGTCAGATAAATATTCAATATCCCTTCTGATCTTTGTCTGATTCTATATCTGAAAAATATCAAAGAGGAAATTCTTACCTTTAATTGAGCTCCGACATGGATATAGTTGTAGGATGAAAGGGATTTCTGGAGATGTAGAGAACGTAGTATCTGCTCTGAACCTCCTTGGAGCAGCTGAAAAATATTTAATTGAAAATAAATTGTTTAAATATAAACTGAAATCAAATCTATCAAATATTCTAACTTAGCAGTAATCTAGCCTTTACTTATTTTTAAGTATTAATTCATTTAGGTCTTTCCATTTCTAGCTTTGAAGTCTGTGTGTGTCTTATGATTTGTGTCTAGATGTCCCATCCCCAAAGCCTCATGCAGTCATGGGGAGGGCTTCTAATGTTTATGATTGATTCGTGGTCCAATTACCCACCCTGAGACAGGTAACCCGCATATAACATAAGAGAGAAAAAGAGGCTTGTTCTAGTTCCTCTGTTTTTGCTCTTCTTGTTTTTGCTTTTTTCTGCTGCCATGAACTGTTGTCCTCTGCCATGTGTCACACTTCCTTGGAGCCAGTCTAATATGGACTGAAGTCTCCACAACCTGTGAGCTAAATAAACCTTTCCTTTCTTAATTCTGGGTGTTGGGTATTTTGTTTCAGCAATGAGAGAAAGGTAATCAGGACAGTGTGTGTGTGTGTGTGTTTTTTTTTTGGTTTTTTTTTTTTAATTTTAAAGAGTAAAAGAAGGTTAACATAATAATAGGGGGGCTTACCAAATTACAGACAAAGTGGTAGGAAATTATCAATGGTTCTTGTTTTATATATTGTTATCTACAAGATAGTTTCTCAGGAAAAC